AAAAATCCACAAACAGCTTCCTGGCTGATTTTCTGTTTTTCCTTTTCTTTTCAAAGCCCAACACTTTGAAAAAATAATAAAAATTAAAGGTTTCCTTTTTACCTCCCATCTCCTTCTCAACTATAATATATCTAGTTTCTGTCACTCATGAAATAAAATCAATTTCTACTAATTTACTTGTAATGGATTTTTTTTTGGTACCAGGGATTGAACTTGGGACCTTTCACTTGTGAGGCAGGCAGCAGCACCACTGAGCTAAATCCCTGACCCTGTAATGGATATTTTTATTTCAACTTCCTAAATTGATATTTTCAGTACTCGTTGATTTTTTCTTACTTGTGTTATAAACATCTAAACTCAACAAGTCCAAATCCAGGCTCGTCATCTTACCCACAAACACCCTTTATTCCATATATTCCACCTCTTGATAAGTATCCTTACCTTAATTTAATTATTGACTAAACTTCCTCAGATTTTGTTTGGGGAAATGATTGTCTCTCCATTGTCAATAAACAGTTTTGAGGGCTATATGATTCTTGGTTGATAGAATTTTTCTTCAGGACTTTTATGGATCATTCAATTCTCTTCTGGCCTGCAAGATAACAACTGAAAAGCACACTGAAAAGTTCATGGAATATAATTGCTTGGATCTAACAGGTCCTTGTGAAAGGCTCATGCATTCAATGGTGGAGATTTGGGAAACTATTGGATCACAATGGCTCTAACTTCATTAGTGGATAGATCCATTCATGGGTTCATAATTTGATGGCATTATGGGGAGGTGATGGAAACATAGGAGGGGGAAACTGGTTGAAGGTACTGGGTCATACAGATGTGGCCTTGGGGGCAACATCTTATTCTCAGACTCCACATCTGTGGCTCTCTTCCTTACCATCACGAGGTAAGCAGTTTTGCTTCATGTCCTTTTGCCATGAAGTTCAGCCTTACCACAAGCCCAGAAGCAAGGGAGCTGGACTGTGTATTGTTTTACAGTTTATTTGTTGGTGGAAGGATAATTTATGGCTTCCTATTCTGCCATTGTGCTATTGCCTCATGTGTTCTCTCACAATACTTAGACTGCTTTATTCTTACTGAACACTCATTTACACTTGATATATAGCATCAGCATATTCCTCTTATGTGTGCTTTTAAGGAAAATATAGCATAAATAAAATGGTTAAATATACATTACACACTCTTAGAGTCTAACTTTTCTAAGTTGCTTTTAAACTCATATTTTCATTGTTATATTTTTCAGCAGTTTCATCTTTTGTGCTGACAACAGAGTTGTAAAAGCAGGTTTCTGGGGTGGGGTGAAGCCCTTCTACTGGCTCTGAGTATTTCCTACAAAATGTTTAAATTTTCATTGCTGGTACTTTCTTGACCTCAGTAGATGGTATTGATAGATGTTTACAGATGACCATGCTAATTCATATATGAGAATTCATTTCCATGATTTTAAAGTCATTTTCAGGAGTAAATATGCAAAGTTGCATTTTTTCAATGATGTTGTCAGAAAGGCTATGGAGTTTATTTATACAAACTCTGGCTGTGATAACATCATCATGACTGGTTCTTGGACAACAGCAATTGTGAAATGCCATCAGATGTTAGACTTGTTCCAATTCAGATGTTAGACGTGCCAATTTTTGAAGTGACAAAACATGAAAAGAAGAAAATAGCACCTTAGAATTGATTCAATATAGTTTACTTTGTTCTTCTATGAAAAAAACACTCATTATCAATGTTGTCCAGCACTTACTCTATCTCAAAATCATTTTTGACTGGCTTTTCTAATTATTTATTCTAGACAGCATCAGAATAACTCCTCAGGATGCTCGCTGGGTTGGTGCTTGGTGGCTTGGTTTTCTTGTGTCTGGACTGCTCTCCATCCTTTCTTCCATACCATTCTTTTTTCTGCCTCGAAATCCAAATGAACCACAGAAACAAAGAAGGAAGGCTTCAACATCTTTGCATGGGCTCAAAACAGATGAAGAAAAAAATCAAACAGCTAATTTGACCAATCATAGTCAAGATGTTACTATTACTGGTAAGTATTTTACATTCATAGTCTACACTGAAATGTTAAGACCAATGGGAAGGGAGAGTGAGTATTTCAAAATAATATCACATTAAATAATTTGGAGTTAGCTTTCTGTGAACTAAATTTAGCTGATTATATTTCCGAAATTCCTATTAATGTTAGTATATATTTCCTGAGCATCTAACAAACTGAATAGAATTAGGTTTATGGCCTTTATCCTGGAGAAAACAGCCAAAGGCTAGAAAACCGGTTCTATAGAACCCAGAGTATACTCATTTCAAAATTATGTTGTGTAGAACATTAGTGAGAGTTAAATGAGCTATAATATTTCATTAATTCACTTAATGAACAGATTATATGAGGTACCCTACTGTGCCTTAGTGACAGAAAATTGCCTCTGTTTTCCAAGAATTTACTATTCTTTCCAAGAATTTGCTTGCTGGTGAGAAGTACAAATACGGAGACAATTACAGTGAATTGCCTTAATGACTGTGGGGTCTAGTTAAACTTAACTACTCTCAAGCATAGACTCAGGAATTAGAGCAAACTCAGGAAAATTTTCTCAAAGTCTAGGT